GGTGGCTTCCAGATGATTTCTAATGATTTGTCTGATAGGGCTTATGCACAGGCTCTAGAGCCTATGATTTCTGGTTTCATTTTGGGTGTGACTGCATAGCAGTGCATTGTCATGCTTGTGTCTTCTCCAGCAAGCCCAGAACGTGAAGGTTTTTTACTGTAAAAACACATGCAGTGTATCTTCCTTTTTATATTGAAAGTGGTGGCCAGGCACAGTGGCTCATGCCTGTAATCTCAGCACTTTGAGGCAGATCATGAGGTCAGGAGATGGAGACCGTCTTGGCCAACATGGTGAAATCCCGCCTCTACTAAAAATACAAAAAATTAGCTGGACATGGTGGCACGTGCCTGTAATATTACCCAGCTACTCGGGAGGCTGAGGCAAGAGGATGGCTTGAACCCGGGAGGCAGAGGTTGCAGTGAGCCGAGATCGCGCACTGCACTCCAGCCTGGCGACAGAGGAAGAGTCTGTCTCAAAACAAAAAAAAAAGGGATTGAGGAACCAGGGGTCTAAATGGTCACCTATCCGAGATCCTGTCCCCACCCTCGCCAGCCCCCGGCCCTCCTTGTTTTCCTTGATGTGTATGCTTTTCACAGTGGTGGAGTGGTATTAATGGTGCACACAGAACCACTTTTTTTCTTAAACTTGTTTATAAATGTAATTTTTTATTAAACTTGTTTATAAATGTAATTTCCAATGTGGTGGCATCCAGCATCAGGGAGAACACAGCATTTACCTCCTCGGAGACTCCCAGTCACTCTGTCTGCCACACACAGCAGCTTGGAAGTGCACAGCTCTGTATTTGACTGTGTGAAGTTTCTGTTTTTGCAGTGAAGAGTCCTGTTGAGTGTCTTTGCATCTGGTCTCCTCCTTCTTCTCACAGATGCAGCCCTGGGAGTGAGGGCAGAACCCAGCTCTGCTGAGGAGCCCCTGGAACAGCTCACGGCTGCACTGGGAGAGCTCAGATCCTCCATGACAGACCCCAGCCAGAGTGACGGTGAGGACGGATGGGGGCTTACGCTGTGCCTCGTGTGCACAGCCCGTGGTTGGGGCTCTGTGGCTGGGCCATTTTCTCCATAGTGATGTCAGGCTAGTAGTCCAGTATTTGGTGGTGAAGACTGACCCCGGGCTGGTGGGTGTGGAACCTTTTTTGAGACAAGGTGGAAGGCTAGTCCTACTCAGGCCGTCACAGACCCTTGGCAGAAGATGAACATTCTGCTACTTGCATCTGAGTAGGACGGATGATGATGGAGAAGAAACTGCAGTGGCTAGGATATGTGTTTTCCCTTGTCCTGACTGCCAGGGTAGATGTCACATGGACACACGGGCTCTCTGCCCTGTGATCCTGACTGCCAGGGTAGATGCCACATGGACACACGGGCTCTCTGCCCTGTGATCCTGACTGCCAGGGTAGACGTCACATAGACACACGGGCTCTCTGCCCTGTGATCCTGACTGCCAGGGTAGATGTCACATAGACACACGGGCTCTCTGCCCTGTGATCCTGCTTCCATGTGACAGTTTTCTGTGAAATGTTCATCATGGATTGAGAACATGCAGTTTATTTTTTCTTTTTTTTTGAGACAGACTCTCACTCTGTCGCCCAGGCTGGAGTGCAGTGGAGCCATCTCGGCTCACTGCAAACTCTGCCTCCCTGGTTCTTGCCATTCTCCTGCATCAGCCTCCCGAGTAGCTAGGACTACAGGCGCTGCCACAACGACCGGCTAATTTTCTTGTATTTTTAGTAGACAGGGTTTCACCGTGTTAGCCAGGATGGTCTCGATCTTCTGACCTCGTGATCCGCCCGTCTCGGCCTCCCAAAGTGCTGGGATTGCAGGCGTGAGCCACCGTGCCCGGCATTGTTTTTTTTTGAGACGGAGTCTTGCTCTGTCGCCCAGGCTGGAGTGCAGTGGCACGATCTCGGCTCACTGCAAGCTCTGCGTGGAGGCAATGTTCACAAAACTGTTAGCACTGGCTGGGGCTGCACTGCCTCGATAGTCTTTACTCAGACCAAGTGCACCAATTCCTAAGTGTAGCCGTTCAGTGATGTGCTTGTGCAGAGTGTGGGGGACATTGAGGGAAAGTTCCAGGGCTTAAGCAAGAGGTTGATAAATGTCAGGCGAGTCCTGTTTCTAAAAGCAAAGCGGTGTTCACCTTCAAATGATAGAGTTGGGCTGTGTGTGGCTCATTACCCTGGGCCAACATGGAGCCTCCGGCACGTGCTTAGACAGACGTGGTGTTTGGAGGGCTGCCATGGGATTTCAGATGGGGAGCATAGAAAGTGGAGGTTCACGTTGGTGAATGAACATGTCCGCCTCTCAGCTGATCAGAAGAAGGTAGTGGATGGCTTCTGCCCCGTTTGCCATGACACATGCTCCACCACAAGGACTGCAAGCCACCTGCAGGGCGACTGGGGGATGTGTGCAGCCAGCAGGGTCCGTGGAATCGCACTTGATGGGAGGCGGAGCTCTCTAGGCCACAGCTGCCTCCCTCCTCTCAGGGTTCCCATCCCTAACTAGTTTCTCCATTTGCAGTTATATCGGCACAGGTGGCAGTGATTTCTGAAAGACTGAGGGCTGCCCTGGGCCACAATGAGGATGACAGCAGCGCTGAGATATCAAAGATTCAGCTCAGCATCAACGCGCCGAGACTGGAGCCACGGGAATACACGGTAGGTGTGGGGGCTCAGAACAAAGCAGGGGGTCTTCACCATTTTCCATTAGGCAGAAGCATTAGACTCAAGGAGCCTTCTCTCATTTTCTGTTTGACTTGCTCAGTTAGTGTGGTATCAGGTGTTCAGGGCCAGGCAGCAGTCTACCAGGGTCAGCCACCCTAGTCTGTTTGTGTATGAAGAGCTCCTTTTACATTTTATTTATTTATTTAATTTTGGAGACAGGGTCTTGCTTTGTTGCCCAGGCTGGAGTGCAGTGGTACAATCATGGCTCACTGCAGCCTCGACCCCCTGGGCTCAAGTGATCCTCTTGTCTCAGCCTCCCAAGTAGCTGGGACTACAGGCGTGCATCACCACACCTGGCTAATTTTTGCATTTTTTGTACAGATGGGGTTTCTCTGTGTTGCCTCGACTGGTGTAGAAGTCCTGAGGTCAAGTGATGTGTCTGCCTCGGCCTCTCAAAGTGTTGGGATTATAGGCATGAGCCACTGCGCTTGGCTTTTTTTTGGAGACTGAGTCTTGCTCTGTTGCCCAGGCTGGAGTGCAGTGGCGTGATCTCGGCTCACTGCAGCCTCCACCTCCTGGGCTCAAGCAGTTCTCCTGCCTCAGCTTCCTGGGTAGCTGGGATTACAGGTGCATACCACTATGCCCAGCTGATTTTTGTATTTTTAGTAAAGACTGGGTTTCATCCTGTTGACCAGCTTGGGCTCAGCTGCCTCTTTAGAACATGCAACAGAGGCTGTTTGTGGCCCCAGAACCTAAGATACTTTTCTGGTGCCTTACACACAAGGTTTGCCAATCCTGCGCGCTGCTATAGAATTTTGTGCTTGGCAATTACATGAGGGCTGCTGTTCCCAGGATTGGGGAATGGGGGCCTGGATACCAGTTTGCATGGTAATGTGCCCTCCAAACATAAGCCTGTTTTGGAGTTCTGTTTGCAAAGCGGAATTGCGATGTCTGTGGCGGGAGAACTGACCGGCTTCCTTCCTGCTGCTCCCGTCCCCGGGATGCTGTGCTCACAAGAACCGTGTCTCCACAGGCTGTGGACCTCCTGCTGACGTCTTTCTGTCAGAACCTGATGGCAGCCTCCAGTGTCGCTCCCCCGGAGAGGTGAAGGCGCAGGCGGCTTCCTGGGTGGTGGGGCTCCTCTGGGTGCCGCCTCCTGCTGGCCAAGGCTGCAGGCCAGGGATGCATGAGCTCGTCTCCGCGGGAGCACGCGGCGAGGCTGAGTTTCATCAAATAGGTTGCAGCAGAAGTCGGGAAGCACTGCAGAAGATGGGTTGTCTTCCAGAAAGACCGTTATTTTGGGGAACAACTTGGCTGTTTCTTGGGCCGCTGGTGCCTGGGTTAGCTGTTGTAGGGATGTGCAGGACTGAATGGCCAGTACTGATGGTTTTGCGGCTGTCCCTGCAGGCAGGGCCCCTGGGCTACCCTCTTCATGAGGACCATGTGTGGACGCGTGCTCCCTGCAGTGCTCACCCGGCTCTGCCAGCTGCTCCATCACCAGGTGAGGCTCTGCTTCACGGGGCCACCCTTGGGGGCCCACTCTGAGGGCCAGGCTGCTGCTTCCCGGCTTGTCTTCAGTGCCTTGGAAAATTCCAGCTGGGAAGAGGGCTGTCTGCTCTGCCACCCTCATTCTCGTTGCAGAGCCCAAGCCTGAGTGCCCCACATGTGCTGGGATTGGCTGCCCTGGCCGTGCACCTGGGTGAGTCCAGGTCTGCGCTCCCGGAGGTGGATGTGGGTCGTCCTGCCCCTGATGCTGGCCTTCCTGTCCCTGCACTCTTTGACAGCCTCCTGACCTGTAGGACGAGAGATTCCTTGCTCTTCTGCCTGAAGTGAGCTGTTCTTCCACAGTTGTGTCTTCTCTCCTCTCTCTAGAAAAGTGATGCATGCTCGTTTGATAAAATTGAAGAGACAGACATGCAGACATACCACCCAAAGATAACCACTTTTTAGCATTTTGGTGTATATCCTTCCAGAATTTTATCTGTCATATGTTTATAATATGTATGCATTTGTTTCTTTGTTCATAAAAATGAGATCATACTATACTAAACTGCTGAAATTAATAGTAGATAGTAACTGTCTACATCGTTAAGCATTCTTTGATGTCCTGGTGAGAGCTGCTTTGTTTTGTCTTGGGGTTGTCTGGCCCTTGGTTGGACCAGCTTCCTCTGGTCAGGTTCTTCGGCACCCCGTGGTGAGCAGCTTCCCAGTGTGTACATGTACACTTCAGGCTATTTCTCTAGGGCTCAGCAGATGGGGCCATGTGCTGAGGTGAGGAAGGACCCTGTGGTCGAGAATGGTCTGCTCAGGGCCTCAAGGGCTCCCTGCAGCTGCCACGCAGAGGCAGAGGCCAGGACGGCACCCCTGCAGCTGCCACGCAGAGGCAGAGGCCAGGACGGCACCCCTGCAGCTGCCACGCAGAGGCAGAGGCCAGGACGGCACCCCTGCAGCTGCCACGCAGAGGCAGAGGCCGGGACGGAACCCCTGCAGCTGCCACGCAGAGGCAGAGGCCAGGACAGAAGGCTGGGAGACTCCAGTGGTCATTGCTCTCTGGAGCTTGGCTTGCAGCTCCTGGGTCTCTTGGGCAGAGGAAGCCGAGGTTGGGACAGAAGCCCTGTTGTGATGCCGGAGACCCTGTGAGGAAAGGGGAGAGCTGGCATTATGACAGGGTCTGAACAACAGAGAACTTAGAAGAGGCTCAAGAAATGTACGTGGAGCAAGGAGAGGAAGTCAGATGGCAACTGTGTGGATCCCACACCCTCAGACGTGGGCTATGGGGAGCAGGCAGTGGGTACTCCGGGGGTTCAGAGCCCCTCCCAGGCGCTTGGCCCCACCAAATAGTCCCCACTCACCCCAGGCCCCAAACACTGAGTGCTGGGTATTGGCATGAGAGGCACACGGCCGATGGAGAAGTTGGGAGCTGGTGAGGAGGGAGGCGTCTAGGTGACTTGGGGGAGACAGGGCCATCCCCTTTCAGGAACACAGAGATGCCTCAGGATATATATCCAAGTGAAGAAAGCAAAATACTGAACTCTGTCTCAGATGCTACTTTTTGCATAAGAAAGGGAGAATGAAATATATATTTGGTGTTTTTAGTTTTTTTTTTTTTTTTTTTGAGACAGAGTCTCACTCTATCGTCTAGGCTAGAATGCAGTAGCAT